ACCCTTACACACACACACACAAACACGTCATCACTAGCTCATAAGCATTTACCCCTTAGCCCTTCCCCTTACCCCTCGTTTTGCGCATTCCCGTGAAGGGGTAGGTGTGTCCCAATTCTCTTTAGTTGGAAGGCGTAGGGCTAAGGGCAAGGTGTAAATACTTCTTCGAACAAAGATTTTTCAGGACCAAACTTGAAACCAAGACCCAATCCCCTACCCCTTCCCCTTGGCCCTTTAAACCGAGGGTGAAGGGTAAGGGCTTCAAAATTCACCTAAAAGAATTAGGACAGCACTACAGCATCTGCACTTGTCATGATGATCGCGACTGCTATAGTTATTCCAGTTGCTTTATTTTTTGGTATTTATCTTCAGGAGATCACTGAAGGCATATACTATGTTATCATAACAATCTAATGATGCAATAAGATCGTAATATTGTGCATTTAACACATGGCCTTAATTATCTACGTAAACACACCAAAAACAACATTAACTTTATAGCAGACACTGTAAAAAGGTTATTCTCAGCCACTAGACGTTTCTAAAAGGAGATTCGAGTGTCATCGAGTGTGAGAATGTTGAGGGACTGCTATACTGGAGTTATGATTATGGATTTTAGATCGCGAAATTTAGTGTTTTTTTTTTTTTTTAAGGATGACGGTAAAACACGAACGCTGTTATGAATATAAATAGCTACTCTGCCGTTGTGGCAGGTGTATTCTGTGAAATTTTCTTACCTCTTGGTTTCGAGTGTGGTCCTGGAAAATCTTTATTTGAAGGGGCATCTACTCCTTCCCCTTAGCCCTACGCCTTCGAGCTAAAGAGAATTGGGACACCAATAAGGGGAAGGGCTAAGGGGTAGAATTGGGATTGGGTCCAAGGGGTAAGAAAATTTCCCAGAATAAACCAGCCACACCAGCCAGAAGTAAAGAGATCCACAAATTAGCATTATTTTTTTTTATTATTACCAATTTTAACAAAAAAATAATAATAATGTTTTAATACATTTATAACCGTGTTCATGTTTTACCGTCATGCTTTAAAAAAAATAAAAAAAGATCAAATAAACCCGCTAAATTCACAATCTATAATAATAATAGCAGTCCCATAACATTCTGACACTCGATGACACTCGAATACCCTTTCAGAAAAGTCTAGTGGCTGGGAATGGCCTTTTAACAGTGTCTATAATGTTGTTTTGGTGTATGATAAATATGGCCAAGGTGTAAATACACAGTATATTTACAATCTTATTGCCACATTAGATTGTTATTATAATATAATAATAGCCTTCAGTGATTTTCTGAAGGTAAATACCAAATAATAACACAGCTGGAATAACTACAGCAGTCGCGATCGTCTGATCTCATATGAAGCAAGAGATGACATGTAATGATGTGGGCAGGTGCTGTAGTGCTGTCCCAATTCTTAGGGGCAACCTTTGTCTTGAATGTAATAAATCATACTTTTTCATGAATTATGAATGCTTGTTAGTTGTAAAATCATTATTAATGCCCTTTTTTTTTCATTTGTGGGTCTCCTTGCTCACTTTTGTGGCTGTGTTGCTGGCTATAGTGGATGTATTCACAGAAATTGGATGTATTCATACTGCTTTGTTTGTAGTGTGTGCTCCTAAAAAAAACTTAATTTGAAGGGCTATATGGTACTTTCCCTCATCCCAAAGTTTCTTAGCAAAAAGAGAATTGCCACAAGTTGGGGTAAGTTGAAGGGATAGAATTGGGATTGTTCCAGTATTATCTTGACCACTCGACAAGATTCAATGTGCTGGATACAAAAGTGGTGGATCTCGGCACTCTCAAACCTCTCTACACTGCTTCGAAGTCCAGTGATCCCAGAAATCATTTCTTTGGTGGCTGCATTATTTTTTTTGTTAGTTTTTTGGGCTGCATCAACTTTCTCTCCGCCTCAGGCAGTGGCATTAGGGTTAAGGGTTTCTGCTAAGGTCTCCAGTCTCATTATGTTATCCAGCTCCTTTCTGTTGCATCTTGGTAATCTAAAGATCAGCCTGCCTCATTGTGGTGGTCTCTGGTAAACTCTGCAAAATTGCTACTATAAAAATTTAACAAAAACTCTTGCACATTAATTATTAATAAAGGGATTAATAAAGGAAGCCTAGGGTGTGTTTAAGTGTTTCAAAATGCATGTTGTTACGTCACACTTGACATCCACACTACTCCAGAATCTTAGACTTGTGAGAACAGAACTTTTTTAAAATGCTAAAGACCTCATTTAGGTTTGGAAATGCTGATGTTTCATTTCAGTATGGACAGACAGACAAACGTAGGTATCTTTTCGACTATGCACAATCACTCTCTGATCTGTTGTGTATTGTTATCTGATTTGTCAAGCCACTCTCATATGACCATTACACATCTGGTAGACTGTAAGTATGGATGTCGACAAAGTATGTGGAGAATGTGCATCACCAGTGAGTGTGATGGTCACATATCATGCATTTCATGTTGTATGAACTGAGATCTTTCTGAAACAATAAAAAAAGCAAGAAAATGCCAGTCTTGACAATGCCATTTTAAAATAAAAACGACATGTTGGTTTATAGACAACAGATGTCTATAAAATCAATAATAATGTCACTCTAGTACACTCCATTTATGTTTATTTTTACAGCGTATTAATTTCACAGCCTTTACTGTCTAGATCAGAATATTTTTATGGGGCATGAGCACATCATTTTGACAGACTCCTAAACCTCAAGGTCCGGCTGCTTTTTAGATATGGTCAGAGACATGATTTATGCATAAGGCACACGTTGTGGTCCCTAATATTGGGAACACATCTCTACTGAAAACCACACAGCACCACTCATTTGAATGATAAACTAATGCTCTGGTAATTTTGTTTGAAACATTATAAAACATGACGTTCACAGCCATGACTTCCTCTGACTCACCCATTACAATGATATCTATCTTTAACAAGGGCGCTTCTGGATATTCTCTACATTGCTGATTTATAATTAATTATAATTAACAATCTGCCTAGGGCTGTTTACTTCAGTTTTGTGTGCATGGAAGTCTATGCGATTATTAACTGTCTGCACTATACTCAAGAAAGTCTGGCTTTGACAAAATGTCAACAATAAAAAAAGGAAATCAACTTATTGTTGATTTATCTTTGATAAAATGGCAAAAACGTTTAACTTTTTAAATGTCTCACATTCTCTCTTCATAACTAATCAGTGAACATGTAAACAATATTAATGTCAGTTTTAAAATCTGCAAATAGTTGGTTGTGTGTGTTTAAAGGGGCATTTGTCAAATTTAGATATTCTTTTGTTATTTGCAAAATGACTTTGAAATACTTGGTCATTATGGAAATTAAACTGGACTCTATTTGCTTTTGCTTTTTTTGCTCGCATTGATTTTCTTGAGGTGAATGTCCAAACATAAATCTGACATCTGGCCATATATAAAAGTAAAACATGTCACTTCCTGTTGCCAGCAGGTGGCGCTATAACTGTACCTGGATATTGGCATGTAAATGTCAGGATTCTTATCAAAGTGAGAATTTTAGTGCAGATCGAAAAATGCATGCTTGAGTTAACAACTGCAGTGATTGTGTAAATTACTTGTGTTGTGAGAAAGTGCAGTGGGTTTTATTAATTTGTTTTGATTGTGGAGCATGTTTTTTTTTTTTAATGAGTTTGTGTAACAATTTGCAGCAATGTGTGCTGTCAAATTGATGAAGATGGTTTTTCAATTTGCTGTAGTTTTTTTGTAATTGCACATGTTTTTTTATATTTCAGCATGTTAAGCTCTCTCGGCCACCGTACAAATTATTTGTTGTGGTTATTTTAAATAAAATTTTGCAAACTATGTTGGATGAATTTCTTTAATAAGATCTGACATAGAACTAAATTCTTCAAAAAAAAATTGTAAAAGATCCATCAGAGATAAGAAATTTCAGCACCAGCTTCTAAAAAAAATCTCGCTAAAAACGAAAACATTGAACGGCAATTTTTTTATTCCTCTGGTAAAGATATCAGTAACACTTTAGTATAGGTCACAGTTTATGCTAACTAGATTATTACCTTAATATTAAGATATTAACTGTTCATTAGTCCTAATCCTACCCAAAGCCTAAACCCAAATTTTACATTAGTAACTATTGATAAACAGCTAATTAGCAGTGTATTAAGCTAGTGGTGTTAGTTAATGGTTTGTTAATACCATGAATTGTGACGTAAACTAGAGTGTTACCAAGATATCGTTGAAAATGATATACAGTATGCAAAGGCTCTGGTGATTCTCCTCCTTGAAAATCAGAGCTTGGTTTCAAAAAGTCTACAGCCCCCCAATAAATAACATATAAATTAAAACATCTATGTGCAAAACTCTTTTTGTGATTCAAACTAGAAATAGAAAGTGTTTGTCATTAAAATAAACTGATGTTCATTTCATGTTGAACTCATTTAAATGTTGAATTGGAAAGCAGCGTTCGGGCTGATGTTGTGATTGTGTAGTGCAGATTTATTGTTTTGGCCGGCTGTGTGTTTACTGAATTAAGTTACAGTATCAGAAAACTCCTCGCACTGCCAGCACTGACTCTGAGATTTCCTTATAGTGATGGGAAGTCAGACTCATTTCCGCGACTCGGCTCTTTCAAACAGTTCATTTTGGTTCAAAGCTCATTATTCTGGGATTCATTTACGTCAAGGCGTAATCACGTCATCTGTTGATGTCGGTTCTTTCGCTTTTATATTTTCGAGAGATCACCATGCTTATTACAGTTTAATAATTTTGTCTTTGAAACCCATTTTATTCGTTAAAGTGGCACTAAATTCACACAATCTGACTCGCATGGTTTTTAATCATTTTTTCATAACTGCATTATATAGCCATATGATAATTAAATAGGTAAAATGAAAGCAATAATGGAACCATAATAATGCCAAATGCCTATCAGCTTGGTTAGCCGGTTTGGTGAACCGGTTCAGTTGAATCATTGTAAAGATTCAACTCAAACGAACCATTCGGTCAAGAGTCGGACGTCGCTTAACAGTGGCATATCAACCTCCGCCCATAAACTCTGCCACTTCCTTTTTACATTTACATGCCCACAGACTCTCAAACAGATGGCACAACTACCAACACCGATGACTGTGGGAAGAGCCAGATTTTCCATTAAGGGTTATTTAAAGAAATGTCAGTCTGAGTCGAGATTTCTGTGATCAAGTGAAGAGCTTGCTGAAATGATTCTCCTCGCTGAGTGAAATGACACGGTCAAGCGGAGCTGGACGTGTATTCGGTTCATGCAGACAGATGTGCAGATGAACACAGTTCATTTGGAGAAAACATTGCACTCCTCCACTGATGTTCAACTTCACGGAGAAAACAAACGCACGTCGGACTGCGTCAACCCGACAAGGTGCGTAACGTTATACGGTGTGTATACAATAATAGTTAATATGACGACAAGAAAAAAAAAAAAAAAAATCTCGTAGCCGAAAACGTGCCACTTATGAGCCTGAAATTGTTATCTAAAGTCACAGTACGAATTACAATATTTGACTAATAATTTGGTAACACTTTGAGTTGCAGTTTACGCTATAACTAGCTTTACCTGCCTGTTATTATTTCGTTATTAGTATTTATTATAACGTGATCTTATTATATATTCATTTATCATGGAACATAAAACCATCGTTGCTAGGTTACCTTATTAACAATAAGCAGTTATTTTTGTCTAGTTTTAGTTATGGTTTGGTAATAGGGTGACGTAAAATAAAAGTGTTACCAGTTAAAATGCTATAAAGGCTATATTGTTAGTTTTATATATAAAGATGATCTGTAATAGAGAATTCCGTTATGTAGTCATACTAAATAGATCAGTGATTGTGGCCTATAACATGCAGTTGTTACGTTCATTTGTTATTTTGATTTATTTTAACTTCGTTTAACTCATATTTGACTTATGGACAGTTAATTTACATTGTAGTTAATTTACATTACTTTTACAGTTACCACACAAAGCTGATTAATACCCTAAAGGGATAATTCACCCAAAATTGAAAATTATGTTACTGTTTACTCACCCTTCACTTGTCCAAATCTGTTTGAGTTTCCTCTTTCTAACTAACAAACAAAAAGAAGTTTTAATAATATGTCAGAGACCGGTTGGCACAGTAATAGTAGACTTTTTGTTTTTCCTACTATGGATGGTTACTGGTTTTCAACATTTTTCTAAATATCTTGTTTTGTTTTAAACAGAAAATAAAGTCAAAGATTTGGAGCCACTTGTCTGAGAGTAAATGATCATTTTTGAGTAAATTACCCCTTGAACTTTTAATTTAATTTAAGAATGATTTGGAAATTTTAAGGTTTAAAATTTTAAGGTTTTTATTGCTGGAGGGAAAGCATTTTAACAAATAAAAGTGTAAAAGTAGTAAAAGTTTATGTTTACGGAAAATATTTCAGGTCCTTATTTTTAATTTGATAATTTTTTTTCCCCAAATATAAAGTAGAAATGTTTATATATATATATATATATATATATATATATATATATATATATATATATATATATATATATATATATATAATAAAATGTCTGTAGTGTCAAAGTCCATGTTGCTGAGTTTAAGTTAAATCTAAATTTAACTGGTACACATTTACTCATATCCAAGAATCCAATTTCTAGTTATATTCCAAATTTGAGGTTATCGCAAAAAGAGTTTGGTTCCTACAGTTGAGTCCAAGTTTGTCTTGTTGAGTCCAAGTTTACTTCCAGTTCATGTGTGAGACGTTTAATAATCTTTTGTTGTGACATTGACTGTACTGTCTGCCAAGTCCAAGAATTGCAACCCTCCATATGTCTAACCAAGATCATTTCCAAATTTGATGTTATAACAAAAATTGAGGTTGGTATGAGAGTTTGATTAGGTGATTCAAAAAATAAAAAAATATATAAAATAAAAAACAAATATAAAAGAATAACACAGAAATTCAATGATATATTAAATGTACATTGCATACTGTCAATGCAGAATTCAGAGATCCTGATTATCACCGATTACCATGAATCAGTCTCCAACTATTAACTATTAACCCTTAAATTAAATCTTCCATGTCAATGCTTTGTCTGACTTTAAAATGGCTTCATATTTTTTACATAGCTAATCTAGCATATGGTATTGAAACAAAAATGATACACATAGGCCTTGTTTACACATATTAAAGGGTTAGTTCACCAAAATATAAAAATTCTTTTTAATTACTCTAAAAAGGTACTAAAAACATCCTCAGAACAGATCATGTGCCTTAAGTGTTTCTTCTCCTCAGTGTCAGTATATTGCGCACAATCAAGACCACTGTGCAGTAACGTGTGCGGTTTTGAGGATGTTGTATAATTTGTAACAAATTAATGGACAAATTGATAACAATAATTTTTACTGATTTGTTTATAAAACAAAGACTGAGCAGTATTATTTTACATTTGATTATTCAATTACTGTATACCTGAATACATTTATACTCTTCTTAAAACATTAAAAGGCTGATTATTTAATTTGTACATTTTTATTTACTAAATTTATCTATGCTTGTAGATTGTTTGTTATATGTTATGCACCGCCTATGAATCATCCCAATCAATCTAAAATTATATATTTTTTCCAAATAGTTATTCAACTCATCTGGATAAATTTGTATTCATATCACGATATGTAATCATAGATTAAAAAAATATCACTATGTTAGATTTTTTCAATGGTTTGTAACAACATGAAGGGGAGTCGTCAAAAACAGAATTTTCCTTTTTGGGTGAACTAACACTTTAAGATGTGCTTTGGTCAACCATATTACAAGTTTATGACATTAAATACATGCGCAAATGGGTAAAAAAACATCTACTCTCTGTCATCTGATACAATTCTAAAACATTACAGAATGTGCTGTTGAAGTGCACTAACCTGACAAGATTTAAACTTTGCCATCTCAAAAAACAGACAAAGTTTGGTTTGAAAGGGCAAAGAAAAAGCAGCATAATTTACGAAGAAATTAAACAAGAAATTCACACTGACTACGTTTACATAGACGTCAGTAATCAAATGATTTGCCTTAATCTGATTAAGGCAATAATGTGATTAAGGTGTTTACATGACCTCTTTTTTGAATGTTCCTTTCATGTTCCTGTTTTACATGTTATAGCACATAATTCGATTAATGTCACGCAATCCACATTTCTTCCGAAGTTTCATGTAATTTTGTGTGCTTCATTTTTTACTTTTTGAAGTTAACTGCAGTTTGGCACTTTCACTTTTATTTAGGAACATTTCATTCATGCCCTCGTGACAACCTAAGGTATTGGATGTGAGTATGAATTAAAAACTAGTGGAAGAGTGTAGATTTTGAATGCAATTTGATCGCTCATGCCGAATGGGAGAAGAAAAAAACCTTCGCATTTTGTGCTGTAGGTGTCTGTGGTCCTTTACTGACTCGATAGGTGCAGAGTGGGGATGCAACAATTATAAATTTTGGAGAAACAATCACGGTGTTACAGTTATCACAATTATTATGCATTCATTAATTTCAAACCCCACTAGTATAGAAAATAAGATGAAAACTTTTATTTACAAGTGTTATTTATTGCTCCTCAGTAACTAATTAATACAGCGCAAAATAATATAAAAAACAAACAATAGTAAATTACTCTCTTTGTGCTTAAAAATAAGTTAATGTTTTTAACATTTAAACAGAAATAATTTTACGCTGTAAATGAATGACAGAACAATAACAATAAACAATTCCAAAATGAATGTCTAATAATTATAAAATATTATTGATGACGAAGATGACAATAATACTAACAATAAATAACATTTCTCATTATCATTCTGCCTTGAATGTGTGAGTTAACTGCTATAAATAGTCCTATTACTTTATGAAAAATAAATCTATGATTTGCATTAAAAAAAATGAAGCATTGCAGTAAGAAATGTTTATTTTGCTCTATTGTTTTTATATGCATGTCAATTTAATAAACAGAAAGAATGGACAAAAGAAAGGAAGAAAAGTTTCGCTTCTGCACCTCTTTAAAAGTTTTGCTTTCGGTTTGGTCATTGCAAATGTCTCGTTGTGCTCTGATTTTCATCACTCTGTGTGAAAAAAAGCCAGCGAGTCAGCCGGCCCATATAAGCGGAACAGAGCAGGATTCTCTAGATGACCACCAGTGCAATACTGTTGTCATGAGCCGCAGTTTCAGTTTAAACTTGGTAAAGGCGAGCTTCTTTGGGGATGATGTGTACAGTGTTAGGTTTTACATTTAGCGGACATTTGCGCTGAACGCGCAGTGAATGCAACGCATCGAGATTCAGGCCATGAAACAGCTGATCCACTCAAAGTTTTTCAGCGCTCTCTCCGAAATCTCTCGGTTGATCTCGGCTGGTGGATTAAAATTCACTACATGATCGATCTTATCAGCGCCATTATTAATAACTCAAGTGGGTTTGCAAACCTGTGTACTTTTCACGTACTGCTTCTTCCTCAAACTTCAGCCACAAAAGCCCCCTGTCATCCCAATGACGTGCACCTGAAAAGCGTGAGCGCATCCCTCCAGTGGAAATAACGAACTTGCACGAACTTGCCTTAGTTAATAGCCTCAGTCATAGTTAATCTAGTGTGTGTGGTTATTAGTCTCAGTGACAAACTAGCGCACAGTTTAGTTGCAGCAGTTCTGTTCCGTGCAGAAACACGTTGTTGCGAAGCATTTACGATTAATTAACCATGATGAATTAAAGTGCGGTTAATAGTGAAAACGTGTGTATATAATATCCTGTTTAGTTCGATTATGACCTTAATCAGATAAAAAATAAATAAAAAATGCAGTTTACATGGTACTATTCATAGAATCAGAGAATTGTCTTAATCGTAATAAAAACAGATTATTGGTGTCCATGTAAACGTGATCACTGTTCTGTTAGTTTTGCATCTATCACAACATAAAAGAAGTCTGCTGTTGTCAGAAATGTTTTCCATTATCTCCTTTTACATTCGCAAGGAAATTGTGAAAGTGTATTTTGCAATTTTAGATCCAAACATCTGCTGCCAATTGACCCTCCCCTCAAATATATCTGGAAAGTGTTTAAAACTGGACAAAACTGACAGATTAAAACACGAGGACATTTTCTTTAATCTTTGTGATCCAGTTGACTAAAAGAAAGCAGCTAAATTTGTAAACAAGGCTTCAATGTTGGTAAAATCAATTGATGGTGCATGTAATATAATGTTCACTCTTCTTTTTGGCTGCTTTATGTGTAGGATGGTCTGCGATCTCTCTTTTGGATCTGCAAGGATATGAACTGGCTCCAGGGCTGGACTGACTCTGGACTGACTTGGAGCACAAACTCTCAAACACACATGCACAGTGACTCGTGTGCTGTTACAAGGGCTGAAAATGGCGTGCCTGCCAGTGATGATGTAACCACAAGAAACAACAGGTCCTTCCAGCACCGATTGCAGGTTTCGCTGGGGGTCTTGCTTGTGATGGCAGGCCTGGTGTTCTTCGTGACTATGGGCTCTTATACTATTCTCATTGGATTGGCCATAGTGTTTCTGGGCCTCTTGATCCTCATCCGTGCCTTTTGTGTGGTCATCAAGTCTAGTCACGTAGCTGTGCCAGGTCACTTTCTTCTACACCCACGAACGGGAACCCGTTACACCCACCATCAAGCCATTGCGGTGCAAAGGTAAGGCAACTGGTTTGTGTTAGAGAACTGGATTTCTCATGATTTTATAAAGAGCCTCAATTGAGTTGTCATTTTGATATATGTACTTTGGTTATGTGTTGTACTGAATTAAAGGAAGACTACACTTTTTTGAAAATAGGCCAATTTTACAATCCCTTAGTGCAGTGGTCACCAACCCCCAGGTTGTAGATTGGTACCAGTTCTTGGATCAATTGCAGGGTGTCCATGGGTTCTTAAAAATTATTAAAAGTTGATAAATCATTTATAAGAAAGTTAAAAGGTATTAAAAAGTCTTAATTTCGTATTTGCGAGATCTTAATTTTTGTTCAAGCATTGTCTGAACTCTAAAAAAGCATAAATATATGTATTTTCCTTCTAATATTTAAAACAGTGTGTACGATCCATGCGATTGGTTTGGGCCAAGGCGCGTCTGGCCAAGCTCCTCCATTCGGGTGATGTCACGTAGCTTGCGTCAAACGCAGGAAGGTGATGTCATGCTTTCCACAAGTAGCCACAAGTAAAACCATAGAGTGAAACAGACAGCATAATGGAAAAATGTAAGTTTGCGTACTCCTGGTTGGTAGAAAGATGAGTTTAAACAGTGGCTGAAGCCTGTCACTGAAAACAACCAGCTTTGTTTTTTCCGAGTTTTGTTGCATGGTTGTGCTCTATTTGTCACGGTAGTTAGCGTGATCAAAACAGGAAAACAAAAAGATGCGGATCCAAGTGCAGATTTATTTACAGTACATCAAACATAAAACAAGGTGTCCAGAGTGCAAGGTACAAAGTAGCAAATAAACAACAAAACAAGAAACTAAATCAGAGACAAGGCTCAGAAAAACTAGACTTACTGGAAACAGGTGAGAATAACAAATAAAACACGAACTAGACTATGGCAAAATACAAGAACAAGATCAGAATAACAAACTCGGAATACTAGACTTACGGGGATTAAAGGAACAAGAAAGACAAACAACGCAATCACAAACAGTGGTGGAATGATGGAATATATAGTCCAGATAATCAACAGAAACGGAGACAGCTGTGAATAGAATCAGTGTATGTGTTCCGGTGTATGTGCGAGGTATGTATGGAGTTGTAGTCTTTTTGGGACGCTGTAGTTCATTCTGAGTCCGTTGAACTAAAGCGCCCTCAGGTGGTCACAGACAGTTGTGACACTATTGATTTATTTAACTACAACTTTTTATTAACAATTTTTTATTAAATTAAAGGTTTGATACCGGTGCCTCCCACAGGTTTGAAAAATACTTGTGGTGGTAGCCTGATTGAAACACGCCTTTTAAACAAAAAAAAAGTGATTTTTAACTATACTTTTGTTTGTTATGACAAACCTTTTCATTTCAGTGGGTTAAAGTTGTTTAAAAAAGGTTGTTAAAATAAAAGAAATCCACTATTTTTCTTGTTTTTATGCTATTTAGAAGCCAAGCAGTAGGAAATGTGGACGTATACAAAAGCAACAAATATGCCTAGGCGGCCCGCCCAAGTAAAGTCTATGTGTGGGAAGCACTGGATACTGATTGGAACAATAGAAAAGTGGCAATAAGGTCTTAAAATATTCTGAGAAGGTCTTTAAAAAGTCTTAAAAAGATATTGAAACTATCTTTAGGATTCCTGCTTATACCCTGAATTGGTACCGTGCCACACAAGAACTCAATTATTTCAGTTTTAATTATTATCTGAGTCTGAATGATGTTTTATTTTGAAAATTGACCGTATTCTTTCGGTTATGTCTCCGACACTTAGGCATAAAAAATTAACCCACATACTAGCAAACAGAAGTCTTTGGAAATATTCTTTCAAAGGTTTCTTTGCGAAGGGGAAAAGTCCCAATGAAGGACCCACAAACTGCCAGGGAATGGCTCTGCAACCTAATTGTCAATAAATTAGCTGAATCCAGCATGTCTGTGAAAAAAAATAAACTGGAGATCGCATATGACGATAGCTTTAGGGGCTGTTCACATATCGCTTTTTCTCTGTGCGCAAGTTTGTTGTTTTCAATGGTGGGTGTGCGCGAGCTCACCTCGAGTCACGTGACAAAAACTGACCAAGCAGCTTTATACTTCAGACAAACACAGAAAAGCCCAACATTGCAGTGCTTTTTTATTTTCTCCATAAATAAGCAATGTTTTGTCAGCTCGTCATCCTCTAAGACAGGCATGTCCAAACTCCTCGAGGGGTGTTGAGGCAAGTTGAAGCTAAAATCTGCAGGATCTAAACCCTGCGTTTGGATCCTCACTTCCGTTGTCAGGGTCACATCACCGTTATAGTCAGTTTTAATACACAATATAACAAGAAGAGTCAAGCTTTAAATATGTCTAAACTGTTTTTTTGACATTTTTGAGAGAGATGCTAATGGTCTAATCAGATTCAATGGTCTATGCTAAGCTAAGCTAAAAATTCTAGACAACAGATTCATCAATTATTTATGCTCATATCATTCCAAACTCAGATGACCTTTGTACATCTTCGTAACACAAATTAAGATATTTTAGATTAAATACAAGAGCTTACTGACCCGTTATAAACAGTAAGGGTCATGAAACCCAAAACCCAAAAAGGTAACAACATTGTCAAAACAATCCATGTGTCATCAGTGGTTAAATCATTAAATAAAATCATTATTATAAGCATTCTCATAGCTTCATAAAGTTGCAGAGTATTATCCCAAACTTTTAAGCTAAGTTAGGTTGTAGTTAAGTAGAACATTTTCTACATAACATGGTGTAACCTTAGTAAAGACCCCAAGATACTTCAGGAACTGCTGTGACATTTTCCTTAGCACATACTTGCATGATTGCTACAAGATAAACATCAGGGGCCTGTTTCAGTGAGGAGTTTTAACCAACTCTGAGTTGATTTACAGAGAGATTAAAAACTCAGAGTTTTCGTGTTTCAGAATAGCTGATCTGAGTTGGGTCAATCAACTTTGAGTAGACTTACTCAGAGTTAAGCACGCACAGCATGACTATAAAAAGGCATTATCAATGGACCGCAGATATTACAAGTGACCATGGTAACATCTGAAAAAAAGAGATTAGCATTTCTTTCTCCAGCTAAACTTGATCTGCCAATGCAAAGTTATAGCAAATAGGACCATATATTTAAAAAAGCAACACCACTGCATCAGTGAAACAGACAGTTAGCGTGGGAAAACATAGTAAAAGTGCACTTGTCTGCCGCTATTATTAATTAAGTGAAGGAGGTTGATATGACATTTAGGGCTCTATTTTGATGGCCCATGTGCAAAACACAGGTCGCAAACACTTTCAGGGCGTGTCAGAATGCATTTTTGCTAATATAAGGATGCACAAATCCGCTTTGAGCCGTGGCGCATGGTCTAAAAGGGTTGAGTTTATTTTCTTAATGAGTTATAGGTGTGTTTTGAGAATAAACCAATCAGAGTCTCATCTTCCATTCTCTTTAGGAGCCAGTTGCGTCGCGCCATAAACGCATTTGCTCTTGACATGACGTAAAGTAAGTGTACGTTTAAAAACATTGAGCATTTCATTTGCAAGAAAACAGTTAAACAGAGCATGTACCGCGCGAGAATGAGAGATAAATGATCTACTTTCACTTTCGCTCTCGTGGATAGGGAAACCTTTACGCACAGACATCAATTAGCCTATAAATAATTAATTTAGTTTGTTAAGCGCAAATATTTGTTTCAAAACTATTTCTAAATTCAATTCTAATTTCCAGCAAACGAATAAATGAACAAGAATAACGAAGTGTGTTAAAAAACCTGAGTTACATCCTAATACACATGCTGTGCCCCAAATGGTCTAAAACCTGCAGGTGGGCGAATCTAAGCTTGTTTTTTATAAAACAAATATAAATATGGATATAGTAAATAATACTGCTAATAATAATAACATTATACAAAAGCAAATTGTTTTGAATGAACTGAAAAAGCCTCCCGAGATGAAGGAGGCATAAAAGCAGTGGCGCCTAGCGCCACATTGCGCCGGGTGTATGATAGGACCCTTAGATTGTAAGCAGAACTAAAAAATAGTTTTTAGAACGAATAATAATCCCAATAATTTAATAACAGTCCATGTGGAAGGTCTGTGAATTTAAGCTAATTATTTATTAAAAAAGGACAAGCCGTTCTTGTACATGACTTTGTTCTTTGTGTGACTGAAATGTAGGCAATAGCTGTGTTTCCATCCAATAATGCTAATTACATTTATGTGCAAAACTGGCTTATCGCATAAAAGATGTGTGAATAAAGCAGCGTTTCCATCCAATGAATCAGAGAACAAAATCATGACTTCCTGATTAACTGGCGCCAAATATCAACAGTAAAAACAGAATTTACTGCGATAGGAGAAGCTGCGTCAATCTTTTTTTAATTAAATAAATGTACTTGCGTCTGTTGACAAACAATGAACAAGTGGGGGCGTTTGAAGCCATGAGACGCGGAGAACAGACGCTGTTGACACTCTGGAGGTAATTAATATTATACATTAATACTGAAATGGTTAAGGCATATTAGAATGACTAAAACAACAAAACAAAAAGCCTGATGGTTAGTCCATTCACACACAGTTCATCATGGTCTCTTATAACAAACCTTTTTTAATGCACATACTGGAATTTGTTCAGTAAAAGTGTTTCCATAATTTATGCTCATGTTTTCTTATCGAATATAAAGTTTATCCTACTCAGTTATGCGCATGTTTTACAATGCGCATTTTCAAACATTATGTGTATCATAACGTTTCCATCAATTGTTTTTATGCGCATCTCCAAAATGAGCATTAAAACAGGTGGGTGAAAATATAAGGCTAAGGTGAGAAATTGCGCTTCGTCTTTAAAAAAGAGGAGGAGACCGAAAGAAACTCAGAGTTTAGACAATAAAACCTGCTCCTGACCAGGTTAGGTTCACAGAGTAAGTTATCACGGTAACTGACTCTGAGTTAAAGTTAAATTCTATTCAGAAACAGGCTTGACCTTCCCTGCTTTCTCCAGTTTGACAA